CTGATGAGCCTGCAGAATTTCCAGCAAAGACTTTGACATCCTTAGTGTCAACCCTTCTTTCTTGAATCTGCCGCTTATTTCCTTCTTCAAAGAATCTGAGACAATAAGCAAACATTATGCTTGATAATACTACATTATACTAACTTGTAATGTGAGGTGTGCTTTGATTGTGAATCAGTTTCATTAATAACTGCTGTTCCCTCATAGTTGCAATACTTTTCTTAAAGTTGACCACCCATTCCTCCTCTCCTTTACCATAAAACACACCCAATACTTTACCACTTGATGTACTTTGAGCAAAGCAGAACCATTTATCCAAGTTTTCCACTAGAACTGGATCACTACAGTATACAATGAAAAAATTGCATTAGTCTGTGTCTACATTTAGTGACACAAATAAAAAATTTCAAATAGCAATAGACTACACTTGATGAATTTTCCTTGTCTCCCTGTCTTACTTATTGCTGTCTTCACTGGTTTTTGTGATGACACTGTCTCTGACTTGCATGCAAGAACGAATCGATAGTTCATTTTTAAATGTACCAACTGCAAGAGATAAATGGAATATGAATAAAATATAAATTTAAATTCTTAATGAATGAAGGTTAAAAATACCTGCATACTACAGTGCTAACGTGGCTGACCTGATTCACAAGAGATATCCACTTTTGCAGATATAGAGACTTGTTCTCCTTTGCCTAACTCCATTCTAGCATGATAACGATACAAGCAACTCTCAGAAACATTTTGTGCAAGAGAAAGAAAACATGACACAATGCATCTAGTATATTTACTTTACAATTAGACACTTTCACATATTTTCCATAGGTAACTCCACAGGATAGGGAGAATGAGAGAGCAAGAGCTAGTAACACAAAGTCTTTCATGCTAAAGCTTGCAAGACTCTGTGACAAAACTATACACTAGCTACCTCATATTTATACTAATCTGCATGTTGCCCCATGCCTGCATGCATGCATCTTGTTATGCCACATGATTTTGTAAAAGATTGCGCTCAATTTCATTTTTAGTGTGCATGTACCTTGACACTTGTGTAAGCAGCACACATAGTCAAGCACCCATATAATCCTTTTAATAAAAACTTGAGTGTTGTCTTAAAAAGATAACTTGTCTTAAATTACCATTAACGGTGTTTGTTTCAACAAAACAAATCCAATAACATGACTTTAATAAACATTTTGTGATAAAATACATTTTGTAAATTGTTGCTTAAAGGCTAAATAAACTCATGGCCAAACTAACATGTCAAGCAGGATGAATAATGCTGTCCTGCATCCATATAACTGATGTTTTGCTAAAATAGGCATCGTACATCAAGTTGTTAATGTATATGTACAATGTAGGATAGGTTTATTGTATATACTTCACCTCACTAAGACTTATATATGTACATGCACTGACACACTCTCATCTCTCATTATCTTATTATTATCAGCAATCCATCCTTTAAAGGAGGTGATGCTATTTCCCAAGGAGAGTAAATTTAAATTAAGTAAAAATACATGTGTGTATAGACACTGCAACATTGACCATTAAATTCCTATGGAAACTTCTCTTTCAGCCATTTTTAATGCATGCAGGGTCTTTGTGCAGTGATGTGTGCGTATATCATTGCTGGTGATCTACTTGGATATCTTTATGATTCATTGTTTACAAAAAAGAAAATGCTTATAACTATGCTACACTAATAAAAAGCTTAAACTCAACTACAAAAAAGAGGAGTCCATTAAAAATGATCACACATCAGCTTTCAATGATGATTGAAGAATATCATTTTGATACACATGTTTCTAAACAGGAACATTGTGAGGCTCCATACCGGCTACCCTTGCAAAGGACATTGAGGGGGTGGCTTCCAGTACAATTACAAGCATAACACAGACCAAACAATTTCTCTCTTCTATTTGCTAGGCTCCAAGTATGTGATAGTTTGCTAAATTTTTTCTTTCCTCCCCAAGATTTCTGTATATTTGTGACAAGAGTGAATGGATGAGACAAAGAGAGAGAGAAAAAAGAAAATAATTTTATCATTACTGGATTATTACTGTTAAAATCACCTTGCACTTGAACCGTCTACACCGGATTTTCCTAGACTGCCAGTATGCATAAACACTAATATTTCCTTGAGTTATACCATAAACTTCAAAGCATGCATTAGCATCCTGTGATGATGAGCCACACAGTGAGGTTGATGCTTCTGGGTTTATGGTATAGGATATGAAGGCACAGACTTCAATACCTAATTTGTAGTTAATCTATTAGAAAAAGAAAATCAAATAATAAATATCTCTGACACCCCAGCTTTCTTTTCACTCTTCTCTCATATTTTGACTCTCACCAATACTCTAGCAGTAGCCTCTCCTTTAACAGTTAGAGTAGGTACTGTCTCAAGCTTAGCTGATGCCTTCATATTAACATCATTATCCAAACGTCCAATGAATGCATTGAAATTCATTTGTCCAGATATTTGGCCACTGAGAGTGAGATCCAGAGTACCTACATAAATAAAGAAGCTATACTTTGCTTGGAAAACAGTAACTGTCTTTTGCCACGAGCGAGTGTACTTGTATGTGCTTGTAGTTTTGCTCATTTTATTTAAGAGCGTGGAACCAACTATCTTAATGTAGCGCTTGTATGTTAAAGTGCTAACAGAGTTTTGGTCTGGGAAGTCTCTCACATATGAGAACATTGCATCAAGTGCAGTGTAAGTTTTTTTCCAGACCACAAGATCAAACCTTGCTCGTGCATACAGTTTGATACCAGGAATACCAACACCTCCAAACCCTCCTGCTGCTATGTCAGCATGTAATTTAGAATATCCAATCTCTGTGGCCCACAAATATCCTCTGTGATAAGGATATGTAGAAACATCTTGACGTCTCCCAGACCTTGACTGTACCAGATTATAGTTAGAATTAGATCTTGAGTCCCAATCTGAAGTAGAAGCTCTCTTTTTACGATCATCACCAACTGTAGTAGTCTTTGTCTCCAGACCTTCTCTCAGTCTCTCACTTGA